CCAGCCCTGGGCCTCCTGGGCCACGTTTTGGAGCGAGTTTCGGCCGAAACCGGGGAGAAGGACTTGCCCCACGAACGAAACAGCCAGAGACTACACCATAACATAGCGCAGTTTTGAAACATGGATACAAGAGAGAGCTCCAAGAGCCTTGTTGGGGCCCGGCAAAGTGACAACCTCCGACAAGAGCTCTGAGCGAGGGCCGCCCCCCACAGGCAGTCTCTTGTTCTCGCTATGTCGTTCAACCCAGACACAGCTGAGACATCAGACATCGAGGTCGAAGCGTGTGCGAGATCAGGAGGATGCAGTCAAAGACCCCTGGAGTATGATGCCGCCAAGCTGGAACAACCAAACTTCTGGTTATCACACTCATTGATTGTTGGTATTGCTCTTTGCTGTTGGTTTGCTGCCGTCATCATGACTGTTCCGAATTGACTGGTGTTGTTGCTTGCAACGTGGTTGTTAATGTGTTGTTGTTGTTGTTGTTGTTGTTGTTGTTGTTGTTGTTGTTGTTGTTGTTATGATGATGGTGATGATGGCGAAGATGGTGATGATGATGGAGATGAAGATGGAGATGAAAATGAAGATGTTGTTGCAGTTGATGATGATGAGCGTCGCGGTGCTGATGGCGATGAACGATGATAATGGTGATGTTGATGATGATGTTGCTGATGATGACGATGAGGATGATGATTACGAGGAGGAGGAGGAAGCTGATAATCATAGGTAATCGTTTTGTATATCTGTTATGACTGAGACTATAGAAACTATTGTGCTTGTTTTTTGTTACTGTTAGTGCTTTTTGTGTGCTGTTGTTGCTGATTGCTTATAGTACCATTTGCTGCCACGGCCGTTCGATTTGTTTTTGTATTACTTCACTGCAGTGTAAATGGCTACTGCCACAGCTATGATTACTACAAATCTCGGCTTGTGTTAGTACCGCTATCATGTCAGTTCTCGGCGCAAACAACGCTATGATTATGACTTATCTTTTGTTGCTATGACATGGAAACTGCGGAATGTTACAAACACTAGCATCTGCAGCCTCGCATGTATTGGTGAGTTGTGCCTTGCAGACAACATCGATGGAAGAACCCCAATCCCGTGGTTCACAGTGTCTGCAGCCTTGTAGCAGTTGAACATGCATCGATTCACAATATATGCTGTGCTGGGAAAGCTTGAAATGCTCTGATTTGCAGTATCTAGTTGCGAAGATGTCAAGAAAAGTACGGGCCAATGTTAAGTAAAGAAGGGAGAGCTGACGTTATACAGGAAACAAGATTCGGCCAGCGAACCGCATCGTTGACTGCTAGCACGGTTTTAATTAATTATAAGGGCCAACCAGAAAAGAATTTTGAATTCCGGAAGCCTCACACACGTCTCATACTTAAACCGCAGGATGTGCCTCAGACCTGCTCAAGTGAGAAACCGGCCCTAGGATGGCCTCAGCAACTTTATTGATGCTGCAATTATTGGTGCTGTTACTACCATTGTTGTTATGGAATACTATGCTGGTGCTTAACATGAGTATTGTTATCATGATGATTGCAATGAATGTCGCCGCCTTATCTAGATGAGTATGTATGCGATAATTCTGTGGACCTGTCTCCCAACCCACCCCAGACCAGCGGACAAGCCGAAAGCAAGCGGAAGACATGTGAAACACTTCTAGGAGATCTGCGTTGCTTCTGCCGCTCTCAAATGTTAAGGACATTTGGCGACAAAGAGCGGCTGCAGCGCGTGCAGAGCGTGGATGCGCAGGTTCTGAAGAAGCTGACCGAGGTCGTGGATCCTGAAGGCCGATTCCTGCGTTTTTGCGCAGTCTGTGTCATCTTTGGGGAAAGCCGTACTGAATTTGTGTGCTTTGGGTTTTGCATTCGGCATTCGACTTGTTTCGAGGTATTTGGAAGTCGTTGCAGCTGACCTTGCTGGACGGCGAGAGCGGTGAGAGGGAGGTTGCAAGCCTCCAGTGTCCCTGGATCAACATGGCTTTCATCCAGCCCTAAGTCTTTCATGAGCTTGTACAAACATCGGCTGTCCCGGTGTCCGCTGAGGTGTGGCCTTCGAGGGCATGCCCCAGTGGGACGGACCGATCGATTTGACTTGGGGGAAAGGCCTGCTAATCTTGAGCCAGTACGGAGACTCACAAAAGCAACGCTTGCACTTCGTCATGCAAGAGAGCATGGCGCGCTTCCAGGGAGTCGAGGAAAGTGCTTCGGCGGTCTCCAAAAGCATCTTGGCTTCTTCAGGGACTTTTTCTTCGAAGGGATCATACACGGCTACGCGTGGCGTTCGCTACTTGAGCATTCCGCTGGAAGTGGAAACTCACATCTTTGGTGTCAGCGCTGAGATGGCGGATGTGGCCACGCTTTGGAGCCGCTTCGGGGGCGGTGGCGGCTGGTCGTGGCGCTGTTGCGACTGGCTTCGATGCTGCAAGTTGGGGGGGCAAAACATGAGAACTGTAGACTCGTAGAAGGACCCGATCGCGACGTGTTTTCCCTGCAGGTGTCGTTGTTGCTTCCGATGCAAGTGCAGCAAGTGTTGCAAGGGCTTGTGCACGAAGATTGAAAAAGCGGAGACGAATGTTTGGAATGGTGCCATGGACCACCGGCCACGCTTCACGGACATGGTTGCTCGCGAAGAGAAGGAGCACGTGGACCAGTCCTACACCTTCGACGGCCATCATCACAAGGGCAGGGAGACCCGTGACTTCACCGTGCAGCAGATGCATGTCCTCAAGTTTGTCTGCCAGCTGCCATCACAGAAGCCACGGTTGTGCACCGCGTGGTTGGATCCTTCGACAGACGTAAGGCGCCTCGGAAGCGGTCAGTGCAGTTCCGGCTTTTCCGCTTCGAAACACCTGTTCTGAGTTTTCGCTGGGTTCACGCAGGTTGCTGCAGAAGCATAACCGGAAGTTATTGATGAAGGTGCATAGGCAATAAGGCAGGGATTTTTGCAAGCATGCTTGGCCATGTATGTCGAGATTATGTAACGATGATAGTGAGCTCGCTGCCGCAATGATGGTGGTCTTATTTCCTAAGCTCCGAGGTCATGACAACGAATGCCTAGTTTTTGTGTCTTTTTCGTGCATGCATGTGCGTTGTTCAGATGCCAGGTACAGAACCCCACCATCAGGCCATCAAGCCCCAAACTCGAACGTGGGAAACCCAGATGGCTTTTTGCGTGCAGAATCCCCGTCTTTTTTCACCACTGCTTCCTGCTATTTGGTCTTGAGACCCCGTGTGACGAAGCGACTCGCTCTGTGCGAGAGAGCAGCTGCTCCAAGCTCTGAAACCTTCTCTCTCTCTGAAGCCCCCCAAAAAGACACAGCTCTCTTTCTTGGAGCCTTCTAGTTGCGAGTCTTCTGCAGATGTTCTCAGCGAGGTCCGGTCTGAAAGTCGTGAGCAGCCTGCGCGTGAGCTCGGCCCAGATGTCGCGCAATGATGGGCCTGCTATCCAGTACCCTTGGCTCCCAACGTGGGTGACATCCTGGAAGGCGTCCATGGCGTTTCCAGACAAGAACGCCGTCTACACGGGAGGAGCCGCAATCAGGGTGGCAGTCTCAAGGAAGACTGCGCTGCTGAGCAAGCGCCAAAAGATTGCGATCATCATCGTCCTGATCGCGGCCGTGGGTGGCTTCCTGTACTGGTTCCTGGTGGTGCGGCCTCAATCCACCTCCTCCACGACCTCCTCGTACTAGCTCCGGCATGTCCAGCCGAGTGAAAATCCAAAGTTCAGCCTAGGTTTTCGCGATTCTCCGCACCATTTGGACTGGTTGATGAATGAATCAGAAATCAAGCCTATCGGCCCATCCAGAGCCGGGCGTATGCAATGTACGTTACAACACTGACACATCCCCAAATCTGCTACATACTACGTTTTAATGTTTTTCAGCCACGGATGGATGTGCCATGCAACATGAAAGCCTTTGTCCTTGTTGAGGATGGCAGTTTTCGTAGCATCGGGCCGTGAAATTGAATTACGGTGGTCCGGCATTGCCTGCTCCCAGAGATAGTCGTGGTAGAGTCAGCTTTGACCATGCCATGAGACACACGACATGTCTCTTCGGCTCATGGTAGGTCTCCATAAATGCCGCATGACAGATCTCTTCGGTGCCAGACATGCTGATCCAAGTCAAGCGTCGATGCGGTTGGGCAAACACGCCGAACCCGTAACCCAATTCGAGTGAACTTGATGAAGGCCCCGCCTGAGGTTCAAGACGAACCAGGGGCCCGATCTTTGCAGATTTTGCACGGCCTCGGTGTTCCTGATCGATGTGCTGAATCGCGACACCACTCCATAGAGCCTTGATGAGCTGGAAACACTGAGCAGGCCAGTTCCGGGCCTCGAGGTGACTTTCAAGCGGCTGACGCAAAATCCAGGCGAATTCAGGGCGAGTTGCAGTGAATTGGAAAGTAAAAATCAGCTTCAGTACGTCCAGGCTGTTTCTTGTGAAGGCAGGGCTGCACGTGACGTTGCGGGACTTGAAGCAGCATCCGTACAGTACACATGGAGTCTTCGTCACGGGTCTCTGCAGCTCAGCTTGCATATATGCTCTTCGCAGAAGCGGCTGTTGAAGCAAAATGGAAACATGCCGCTGTGTCCGGCTCTGAAATAGTTAGAGCAGAGTGTTGCAGAGCACTAAGTGGGAAGGGTGGCTTGGCAATTGATTTGGCGCTTCGCGTGCCCCAGCGAGTTTTTGTGGCAATTCGCAACTGAAGGGTCCATGCATGTACTGACGACTGGTTGTGCTCTCGGGGCAGATCGTTTTGCTCTAGGGGTGCTGCCTTGAGGTACCGGTGTGCGCCGAGGCAGCCCATATTCTTGAAGTGTGTGTGCATATATAAACAAACATATAAATAACAACTATATATATGTACAGATCCACATATACATATATACACATACACATCATAGACATATATGTGCTAATACGTACACACAGATGAATGTTTATATAGATCTACATTGTACTTTTTGTACTCGTGCTTGTATTTGTGCTGACGTTGCTGAGTTCTGCTCGCAGGGTCGAATCGTCCTGTCCTCCGCTGCATGCGGTCCACTCTTCAAGCTGTAGCTCGCCATCGAGAGGCAGGTTTTGAGTAGCTGCATTGCACGGTGACTGCAGCATGCGTGGGTTCGATGCCTGCAACTTTTGCTTTCTTTGGACTTTGATGAGAAGGTGCTGAGACACTTTGGTCGGAGAGCTCCGAGATTTTTCGTGCGGAGCTTGTATCGGTGTTGGGACTTGAGTAGACAGAAGGGGGTTCACGTGACCCAACGTTTATGAATGTTGATGAATGATTGACAAACTTCGTTAGCTTTCCACGATATGAGTCCGCATGGTGCAGCATGTTTGCAGTTCACCACGGCTGGTGCAGAACCTCTGAGGCGCCAGCATCAGCATTACCGCTTGCCAGGCATGTTGCTGCGCAATAGATTGGAAAGGATTGTTGCTGGGGATGGCACAAGAACAATGGTTTCTTGCAAGCAGTAGAGGGGAGCATGTGGTTCGTTGCCGTTCGAATGATTGTGCATTTTCTCGTTTTTCTTCATGACGGCAGGCAGGTCTCTGTGAACTCTGTACATTTCCAGTTCGCCCCAACGGAAAAGAATGGTGCGAAGCGCAAAATACGTTCTCACGTACTACATGCTTCGACTTAACATTCTGCTCATGTGAGTAACTTGGTCCCGACAGCAAAGTATAGCTGGATCAGAAAATGCACGAGGCAACGCGTCGCCATTTTCTTTGCCAGCTACCCAAGTACAGCCTTAAGAGCGCATAGGTCCCCGCAGCATGCTCTTGAATCTGAGACCTTACACTACAGTGGTTTGCCTTTCGCCGTGAGCTACGGTAAGCCGTATGCCCCGCATGTCAGTTCGCTTAATAATTAACGTGAAAGGTGAGATAAGCCCCACTCCGCGGCCCCGTTCGGACTTGAAGTTTCACGGAAATGTTCCCTGGCAGGTTGCAGGATGTCAGATGGCATAGTTCCAAGGCACATCTGGGCGAGGAAGCTGTCTGGGCTGTTCAGCGAGCCTGCCATGTGTGAGACTCAGACTGAGACTGAGAAGGTCGCCCCGCTTCAGGAGATGACTGGCGGAGAGGCCTGTGTATGCTGTTTGCACACAAGATGCCTGCCTTTTTTATGGTGCGATTGTCAGGTGATTTTCAACATGCTCGTGGAGCACGGTGTGGACACCGTGTTTGGTTACAGTGGAGGTGCTGTCTCAAGCCACGAGAGCGGACGGACATATCGGACATATCGGGATTCGATGTGTCCAGGTGCAGTTCTGCCGTTGATTGACGCATTTCATGGCAAGAACATCCAGTGGATCACGTCCTCCCACGAGCAGCCCGAGCCTTGTCTCGCCACAGCAAGACTTGACCGACATTTGATGAGTTTCGCCCGCATTCTGGGAGGTGCTCTGGTCACTCAGCAGCGGCGTATGCGAAGTCCACAGGCAAGTTCGGAGTGGCGAGGGCCTCAGGCAAGTGTACACAGCCCTCAGAGTTCTTCCTCTCATCTGAGGCCATTGTGACCAGCGGCCCTGGATTGACTAATCTCGTGACTCCCATGCAGGCGAAGGGCATGTAATGTGGGGAGAAGCTTTGGAATGAAGACAGCCATGTGGGGCAAAGATTCGATCAAAGAAACCGGGAGAAAGGGCAACGAGCGGCTCGACGCACGGAAGGAATGCGGGGATTGAGCAGAAGGGTTGTGTTAGTGTTGTGTTCTGACAACACAAGACGAGCATGCGCACCAAGTTCATGTTGCGTGGTCTGGCCAACTTATGTAAACATGTCTGGGAGTCTATGCGGCAGCACCCTCAAGTTGAATAACGTTGGCCGGTCTCTTGAATGCTTTGACACCCACATCTTGCGAGGATGCTCTGACGGATGGTGTCCCCATGGTCATCTTCTCTGGCCAAGTTCCAACTGGTGCCATGGGCACTGACGCTTTCCAGGACATGACGTGCCCCATGCTGATGTCATCTGCTTTTCTAGCGTTTTGCTTTCCAGATCCCATTGCACTGGCAGCCATGCAGCATCTCAAAATTGAGTCTGCCCCAGGGAGTGATGATGAGAGGGAGCATGTAGTATGAGTCGGTGTCCTCATGTTGCCGGGGACCCTCTGGCGAAGAGTCCTGCAACTGCTGCTTCTGCCTCGGCTCATTGAGACTGGGACTCAGTGGGGTGCTCACGGCCGTGTTCAGGGGATGTGATGCATCGCAGATAAACTTACTACTGTTTGTTGTCCTTGCACTGCATAGAGGTGCATGGAAGACCGTCGAGGTTCTCTTGACCTAGTAGTCCATTCGTGTGAAATTCGGTGCTCATCTCATGCTGTCTTCAGAAATCCTTTAGTGAGCTCTTCGCCCTTTCCTTCCAAGGACAAAGGACGGCTCGTTCGAAGTTGACCTTGGGAACTCGGGAGCACGACGACTTCAGTCTGCACCAGCGCATTCGCGCCTGCCCAGTTTCAGCCAAGATGCTGAAAGCCTGCGGAAAGAAGCCCAGGCCATGTCATGCCACGTTCAGCGGCAGTGCGGTTGAAGTGGCTGGAGCCGAAGTTGTATGGCAGGTGAAGTTCAGAACTGCAGAGGAGGTGGCTGGCCTGTCCAAGATGCAGAGTGCTCAGCTTAATTGCTTGCTTCAGGGATCTAAAGGTGTGCTGGAGGTCATTACTTCGACTCGACAACATGCCATGAATCAGGTGATGCAGCGGATCTTCGACTTGCAGGTGATCCTCGTAATGTACCTGGACCCGAATGGCCGGCACAGACGCAGGAGGACATTGCTTCACCGCTGTATAGTGTATAGTATGGAAGACAGCAGCATCTTTTGACGTGAGGAGAGCAATGAGGCTCGCGCCACACTGCGGCAGACAGCTTTGTTCTCTTGGAGTGTTCTGTTGAGGCATGGCCCACTGGCCACCAGCCTGCATCGCTTGCCGCATGGTCGGCCTTATCCTTGGTGTTTTGTGGGTGCCTGGGCAGGTGGAGCCAAGCACCTAGCCACCTCTGTAAGATTCTTGGGCTCAAGACTTGTCCGAGATTCATCAAGATCAGCTGTTCGAAGTGGTGCGTGATGGCAGCTTCACAGAGGCCAAAGAGGCACTTTCGAAGCTCGACATCAGTTGGCGTCACAGCCAGCTTCGGCAGAATCTGTTGTTTTTCATAGCAGCATGACAGCGCAAGGGGAGCGAGATTTTAGGCAGACGCGCTGTGCTGATGGGCATTGACCAGCAAACACCACTCTTCTACGCAGCGGCTTATGGAAATCTGACGATTGTCAGGTTTTTGTTGAATCTTATCGAGCGTGGAGCCTCAGTGAGGCACCACGCTCGACAAGAGTAACCAGATTCGTATTCGTATTGATGTGACGCCAACCTGTGCTTAAAATAGTATGCGGTTCGACGCCATGAAGAGTCCCACCAAGGCAGCGAGCCAGAGTACATAAAAGCCAGCTGCATCCATCAACATCCACCAAGGCAAGACAAGCCTACCCAACAGGTAGAATGCAGAATCCCAAATCGCCAGCCGCCCGAAAATGCAGAAAAGAAGGGGCAGGCCAGGAGTCAATCAGACGAAACGCTGAGATCTGAAGGCGCCATACACGGTCCTGAGACGGTCGGCGTATGGCTCACTCACCTGGTACAAACGAGTCAAGGCTCTACAGCTCCAACTTCTCGCATCCGTCACGGCCGCCTGAGCAGCCTCCCAAGAATCAAACTGCGTCTTCAGCTGCCGCGTGCAAGCAGCGTCGGCCTCGGAGTTAAGACGCCTCACCACCGCAGTCGAAAGCCCGCCAGGAGCTCGCCAAGCAAATCTTTTGCCGTGGCTCGGGACCCAAAACGGCAGTAAAGGGCCTAAGCCAACAGCAACCCACTTCCAGAAGAAAGCCAGAGGCCCAACGAGACTTCCGGCTGCAGCCCTGCGCAGCCTGCGAATGGCCGCGTCGTTGTCGGAGAAGACATAGCCTCGCGCCCCAATCACACGAGTATGCTCAGCAATCACAGCTAAGGCCATCCTTTCAGCAGCAGCAGCAGGAGTCTGTTCGGGCCCAGAAAGCAAGCCACTCAGCAACAGCTCTGAAGATCCAGCTTTGACGATAACGGCCCAAGCCCCGCGCTGCCAGTACTCCAATCCAGGCGCCACCAGGCATCCACCGTCAGTTGCAACAATGATGTCCTCATGGCGACGTCCAGCCTCGCGCAGAAAATCCAGGAGCTCAGTATCCAACGACACCTGCATGTTACTATCACAAGGATGAAAAGGGACAGCCACCAAGCAAAGCTTGCGTTCCGAAGCAGTCCGGCCAATGCTTAACTCAGGCGGGGCAAGCGGACATCGAAACAGCAGATGGCCAGCGGATGGAGCGTCCTCGCCGCAAGCGCACGTGGAAGGCATCCCAACGTAACCTAGCAGACGTCCATCAACAGCAGAAGCAGTAGCAACCCTGAAGGCCAATCTGTTGGATCTGTCAGCGAGGTTTGCGTGCTCTTGCAGGACCAGCGCACGCAGCCCTAAAGGCCCAGCGTCGACAGTGCGACCGTCCTGATTCCACAAGTCCTGATGCCATGCATGCCTCGCTGCCCGTGTCAGCGCTTCAACGGAGTGCCATTGCGGGTTGTAGGTGCCAACCAGCGTGTGAACTGAAAGATCTTGAGCCTCAGTCCACCCCCACTTGGCACAAAGCTGGTGCCACGCAGCCTTCGCAGGAACCACCGCTGCCTCGCCACACAGAATGCGAGAGCGCCGCCTCCCCTCGCTGCGCAATAGGACCAGGTCGCCGGCAAACTGCAAGTCCAGGTAGGGACCGCCCAACACTGCACGTGCGAGCAGCTTGGAACGTTGCTTGGGGATCTGGCCAGCCCATAGTGCTCGCTCGATGCACGACTGCCAGCCCTGAAGTGTCTTCGCACTGTAGCGCTGCCAACTGGAAGCCCAAGCCACTGCGGAAACTACCACTGAACGAAGAAGTAAAACTCGCCGACGAAGGTGTCTACAAGCTTTGGAAACTCGCTCACATCGTACCGTAACCAGCTCATTGAGTGCAGCAACGTCAGGAGCGCCGCTGCCTCGCTTCATGGTGTAGTGAACTCCGAGCAATTTGAAAGACTCCTGAACAGGACCGAGCTCAGGAACGAATGAACCCCGTGGATTCCTCTGCCAGCGACACCACCCTGGATATCGTCAGGAAAAACATTGGCGGCCCAATCACGCAGCCGACGACATGAGAGCGAAGAGAGGGCCCGCCAAAGAATGCAGCCGATAGACAAAGGCGAGCCATCCTGCTTCAAGATGAGGGTCACTTTGACCCGCTTCCAAACAGATGGGACGACGCCAACCGAGAGCATGGTGTCCCATAATTGCACCACCGCAGCCCAGAAAGGCAAAGGCAAACAAGAAAGCTGACGAGCTGACCACCCATCCATGCCGGCGGCACGGCGCCGTTGTCGCTTGACAGTGGCAGCCACCTCCTCAGGAGTGAACCGAAGCAAACCCTCCTCACACTGCTCAGCCGGCGGCAGGAAACGGTTAAGGAGTTCATCAGTGGCTCCTTCATCAAATCTGCTTGGCTGGCACCACAAGCGCGTCCAAACTTCATGAGCAACTGCAAGTTTCTCTGTGACTTCAGTTTCTCTGTGACTTCAAGCGGCGAGGTCCACGCACCATTCTTGACGAGCGGCGGGGGGGGGGCGCGCGAGTAATCCACCGAGAAGCCTGGTTGACGTCCATCCGCATGCGATGTTGCCAAGCATCCACACGCATCTGCTTCCTGGCATTGGCCTCACAATCAGCAGCACTGTTCACCTCCTCGAGAAGGTTGGGCAGTGTCACCGCCACAAAGCCATCACCATCAGCTTGCCTCCAGATTTTTCTGAGTAAGTCATCACGATGAGGGCGAGCATGATCACACAGCATCAACTCAGCGATACGTCTCGCCAGACGGCGGTACCGCCTTTCCTTCAACGATTGCAGTGAGGGGGCCTTGGTGGACTGCGGCAAAGAGCGCTGAGGACAAGGAGGGTCAGCACGACGACGGCCACTTCCACTTGCCTTCATCGCGTTTTCGGCAGCCCTGCTAAGCAAGGCCCACGCATCGTCGACGGCTACACGTTGCAGGTACGCCTGAAAAGCAGCTTCAGAGTGGTGGTGACCGCCTCCTCCTGCAGGGGCCTCGGAGGCTGAAGGCGAAATCACCGCGGCAGCGGAGAGACTGGCAACTGCAAGTCATGGAAAACCAAATCATGATCGGCGGGCCCAACGACCTGATGCTTGTAGTCAAAAACCAACTGACTAGTATGAAGAGCAAAGTCCAAGCATCGCGTGTAGCCACCCGACCCCCGAAACGTGGGAGGCGCACCAGCATCACCATGAATGGCTTCGTTGGCAGCACGTAAAAAGCCACTCGCCAACGCATCCGAAATGGGGTATTCAGCCTCAACCAAGTTGAAGTCACCCATCAGAACGGCTTCCTCGCCGAGCTCCGCGATGTGAGCAAAACAAGAAAGCAGGATGTCGCCAGCCGCAGTCCTCGAAGAGGCCGGCAAGTAGAGGTTGCACAGCAGAAAAGGCCTCGCAAAAGGCCGCCAGACCCTCATCAAGCCACCACGGCCGGAAGGAAGCCAATGAGGCGCGGCCAAAGGCTCCAGCGGCCATCGTGTCAAGGTGACACAGCCCCATTGAGCACTGCCCTGGGCTGTCAACCCTTGTTCATGCACCACAACATACCAGCCGTGAGATTGAGCCAGAGTCTGTAAAGAACCGTAAGAGTCGCGAGGCAAGCGAGCTTCTTGTATGAGCAAAACATCCAGGCGCCACTCAGAAGCCAATCCCAAAACCATAGCGGTACGTCCCAACAAAGAACGAACATTCAACGTTCCCACCCTCAACGAGCGAGGCTGCATCATGATGCCATCCGCGAGTCGTCACCAAACAAGCCCTGCGGGATGTCGGGCACGGCGGCAGGCTCGACAATGCCGATCTTAGCCTTGGCCTGTCGCGCCGCCTTGCCACGTGGCCCCTCGTCATCCAGCCAAGGGCGCAGCTCGCGCAACCAGGCATCACGGTACTTGGCAAAGGCGGGCATGCCCTGACACTTGTTGCGCTTGAAGTAGCGCTCCTGCTTGGCAAGGCGGCAGCATAGCACACACACGAACCGAATGCCAATGCTGCGATCCTCTTCTGGCCACGGAATGGCCTCGAGATCATGGTCACGCAACTGAGCCGCCTCCTGAGCCACATCATTGGAGGAAGAAGCGGCCTCTTTCAAGAAAGATACCAACCATACGGCACCATCACGAAGCCTTTGATCGATTCCTTCGTCTTGACTTTGCCTCTCCAACCGCTGCAAGAAAGCCTGGCGCTGTTGAGAGAGCCCCTTCACAGGCTCACATCGCATCTTTGCCAAGCACTTGGCAGTCTTACTCAAGCACCGGCATTTCCGACAGACGAAGCATGGGGCGACGCGCCGCTTCGCCACAGTTGCTGAGGGAAGGTCAACAGTGAAAGTGTCAGGGTGGTCGCCGATGCCCCGCTTGATATGTGAGAGCCTGGAAGCAACACCCTTGGCCCTCACCACCGCAGTAGCCTTGCGAGCATTCGGGGCATTGTTGAGGAACCGGCGCTTGAAGATGTCCTGGTTCTCCTCGGGGTGAGCTCTGCTGCCATGCGTCGCCTTCCAAACCCGCAGCTGGTCACGCGACAAGTTCCAATCAAATGGAAAGGCCTTGTAGCAAACAGGGCATTTCCAGGCCACCGAAACATTGATCGCAACGTCGATGGGGTCACGAATGACGGCGCTCAAATCTAGCTCCCGCTTGCGATCCGGATGCCAGGCCTTGATGTGATTGCTCTTTTGCACCCTCCAAGTAAGCCCTTTGCAAGTGAATCCGCAACCAGGTTTCGGTCGATTGCTAGGCTTGCGCTTGGTATTGCCAGTGACCGTCGGGCCCTCAACACCAGCATCAGCAAGGTCTCGCAAATTGGCCACGTCGCCAAGCTCATTCAACAATGACTGCTCACCACCTGCCGTGGGCTCAACAGCGCCCGACTCAACAATAGAATCGGCACGAATACTGCGGGCACCCTTGGCAAAGGCATCAACCAGCGTGCGCCGACCAAGACTGCCATCGGCGGATGCCTCGGGCGGAAGCCGCGCAGCAGCAGGCGCCCCACCTGCCCGTCCGACAGGGATGTGACGACCGTCAACAACGGTGTAAATTGTGAACGCAACCTCGGAGCCATCAGGGCCCTCACAAGGATCATCAGCACGCTCACCTCCCCCACGTCCTCCTTTAGGCTCGCCAAGTTCTTGAACGTTGGTAATAACCGCTGGCAAAGGGGCGCCAGCAGTAGTGGGAACCAGCAAGTCGTAGTGACCAATCTTCGAGGCTCCACGCTCAAAGCATAGTGCAACCGGGTACGCGCCCGTGCCGTGCTTTGTGCAAGAAATTCCAGCGTCAGAAGGGATGACATACACGGAAAGATTGAACAAGCCTGCGGCAGCAGCCAGCTCTAGATGCCCCCAATATTTTCCGTCCATCGCCGCTTCCTTGAGGTAGCCGTCAAAGTCTGCAACACCCCCCTCATCATCGTTTGTATCTCGCTGGTCCCAAAAGTTGGCGAAGAATTCCTTCTTCCTGACCATGTACGCAATGACTTCAGCTC